TACGACTACTGCTCTTATTAAAATTTCTGACGATATCCGTTTTGGCATGGAGAATTCTCAATTAACGGTCTTAACATTATTGGACTTTAGCAATGCCTTTAATACTGTTGATTTTGATATTTTGTTAGGATTGCTAACCTCTCTCAACATATCTCCAACGGCAATTGACTGGTTTCGTAGTTACCTGTTTGGACGTCGGCAACGTATTCGCATTGATGACGTTTTATCTTCTTGGTGCCATACATCAGCTGGCGTGCCGCAGGGTGGCGTCTTATCTCCTCTTCTATTTGCCTTATTTATTAGCACTATCACTTCGAAACTTCAATCTTCCTACCACCTTTATGCAGATGATTTACAGATTTACTCTTTAGCCCCTCTGGTTGATATCTCTTTAGCAATATCTACTGTTAACGCCGATCTGGAACGTATATCTGCCTGGAGTAAATCTCATGGTCTTGTTATAAACCCCTTGAAGACACAAGCCATTATTATTGGGAGTCCCATACTTATTTCCAAAATTTCCTCGACCAGTCTTCCGCTTGTGGTTTTTGATGGGGTTATGATAGATTACCAGAAAAAAGTAAAAAATCTTGGCATTATTTTTGATAACACTTTGTCATGGTCTCCACAAATCTCAGTAAAAAAATGTTTGCTGCAACTTTTTAACACCAAACCACCCAGTTAACACCAAAATTGCGCTCGCACACACCTTACTCCTACCCATTCTTGATTATGCCGACTCATGTTATTTAGACCTCACCGAAGAGCAATTAAACAAGCTTGAGCGTCTCCAAAATTTATGTATCCGCTTCATATTTGGTATTCGCAAATATGATCACATTTCTCAATTTCGTACTCAACTCAAGTGGCTCTCTATCCGTTTTCGTCGTAATCTGCATATCCTGTCTCTTCTTTACACAATCCTTTTTAATCCTGCTGCTCCTGATTATCTAAAAGACCGATTCTTGTTTCTCAGTGAGGCTAATGATCATACTTTACGCAGTGTCAATAACCTCCGACTTAAATTTCCCACTCATTCTTCTTCCTTTTATTCTAAATCCTTTACTGTTCAGGCAGTTCGTCTATGGAACTCACTACCTACCTCTATTCGGTGCGCTCAAACTCTTACTAGCTTCAAAACCTCTGTTAAATCTTACTACCTCTCACTTTAGTACTATTTTCCTGTATTCTCTCTTCGTTTTCCTTCGTCATTTTTTTCTGTTGTATGTATGCTGTTAAGTATGTGTATGTTATGTATATATTTAATTGTGTATATATTATATATGTATGTGTATATATGTATGTATGTATCTATATATGTTTGTATATGATAATATTTATATAATAGTGCGCCACCTACTCTTTGTCTTTTTCTCAATGTCCTCTACCCAAAGGTTGTCTGGAAGAGATTGCTTAGCGATAAGGCCGCCTTTTGTATCACTTCTCATTAATATTTACTGTATTTGTTATTTCTCTTTTTATTTGGTGCAATAAAGTGTAAATAAATAAAAATAAAAAATAAATATATTATCATGTCCCTCAGTTTTAGTATTATTTATGATGATACTCAGACAAGCTAACAGCCTACAAGATGGAAAATAAATGGAGATAATAGATATGAAATACAAATACAAATACAAATACAAATAACTTTATTTTGTTTGAAAAATGGTATAAAAGATGGAATATAATATTTAAATATTGATCACATTTTTCACCAGAATCTGGCGTACAAAATTTATTTAATTGTTCCACTATACTATGCTAATACTATTTTACTTAAATTGTCATATTAAATAAATGTCAATATATTTACGTATTAATAATAAATTATACAGGTTACAAATTACAGTCATTTCACAAATTACAAATTACATTAATTGAGTCATATATTTAAGATTTAAAGTATTCAAAATATTCATTAACCGAGTAAAAACATTTTTCTATCAGCCATCTTTTTAGTTTTTTTTTTAAATATATTTAAGGGTAATGTTTTTATTTCGTCCGTTAATTTATTATAAATGCTTATTGTCATACAGTAGGCATTTCTACTATACAAAGTTGTAGTTTTATAAGGTAGTACTAAGTTTTGAGGATTTCTTGTGTTAAAATTACAGAGATCACTTTTCTTTTTAAATAAATGTAAATGTGTTTTTGCGAATATGCATACCTCATATATATATTTACATGGGACAGTAAGTATATTTAGCTCCTTGAATAATGATCGACAAGATGTACGTGAGTCAACGTTACAGATCGCCCTGATGCATTGTTTCTGTGATATAAGGGCACGGCTTGCATAATACGAGTTACCCCACAGAAGTATAGCATATCTCAAAATAGAGCTGACATAACCATGGTATGCCTGTAAAGCTGTTTCTTTATTGCTAATTCTTCTTAGTCGCCAGAGAGCATACGCGAATGAATTTACTTTATTGCATAGTTTATGAATATGATCAGCCCAGGAACATTTATCATCCAATGAGACACCTAAAAAAGTTGTTTGTGAACTTTCTTTAATTATATTGCCTGCAAAAGTTACATTCAGTGGTTGTTTTGTCCCGTTTTTATTAATAAATTGAATATATGTAGTTTTATTATAATTAATGTTTAAGTTATTACTCTTTAACCATTTTATTATTTTACTTATTGTTCCATTTATTTCATTATTATATGTTTCAGTATCATTGCATGGTATCACAACGGACACGTCATCAGCAAACAGTGTACAGTTATACTGTGTAACATGGGGCAAATCGTTAATGTAAAGCAGGAATAACAAGGGTCCTAGAATACTACCTTGTGGTACGCCATTTTTGTTGACTTTTATGGATGATTTGTACCTGCTAATTTCCATGCTTGAGTCAAGTTTTGATATTTCTACATATTGTTTTCTATTGTATAGATAACTGTTTATCCATTTATTGACCAAACCTCTTATTCCATACATGTAGCATTTATGGACAAATTTTTTGTGGGACACTGAGTCAAAGGCCTTACTCATATCAAAAAAGACCGCTGTGACATAGATTCGTTTGTCCAAACAAGACAAAATGTTGTCCATGAGAGAAAAGGCTGCTGATGTTGTTGATTTACCTTTTTGAAACCCATTTTGTTCCGATTTGATCAATTTATATTTATCCAGAAATTTCAGCAATCGATTAAACATTATTCTCTCAAATATTTTTGACAAATTCGGTAAGAGAGATATTGGCCTGTGATTCCCTACTTCATGGATATTTCCTTTTTTTGGTAGCGGTCGTACAATAGAAATTTTTAAGGCTTCTGGGAAAATTCCCGTACTAAATGAAAGGTTAATTAAATAGCTCAACACTGGTGCAATCTCTTTCCTACATGCCTTTAATATCATTATCTGAATTTCATCGCAACCGGTCGATTTCGTGGATTTCAGAGATTGAATGATTTTAATAACTTCAGACTCATCTGTAGGGCATAAAAACATACTAACATGGTTTGATTGCATATTTGTAATGTCATCATTGTTAGTTGTGTCCGAATTTATCATGTCAATATAATAGTTATTAAATGTGTTTGCAATGTCAGTGGGATTTTCAATTATGTCATCATTGATTATAAGTTTGTCAATATTATTACTAGCAGGATTTTTTTCCATCCTATTTTTTATTATGTCCCATGTAGTTTTACATACATTATTAGATTTTTCAATATATTTCATATTAGTTAATTTTTGTGCATGGTTAATACATCGTTTCAGAAGTTTTGAATATTTCTGATATTTCATTTTTGTATTATTGTTTGCGTTTTTATAATATGTAAAGCGTAATTTTCTTTTAGTAATTACAGAATTTTTCAAACCTCTTGTTAGCCAGTTTGTATATTTTTTCTGTGGCTTGACTTTAATTTTTATTATGGGAAAACATAAGTAGTAAAACATTTTGAAAGTATCATAGAAATTTTCAAATGCAATTTCCATGTCGGTTTCTTCATAGACATTTGTCCACGATAGACTAAGTAGGCACTCGATAAATTTGGAAATGTTTTCTGGACTGTAATCCCTTTTTTTATAATACCAGAATTTAGGCATTTCAACTTTATTTATTACGTCAATCGTAAGCGATTGTGCAGTCTCATGATCTGATAATCCTAAATTATGCACTTCACTTTTACCTTCAGATATATTACTGAGTATCTGATCTAAACATGCCTTTTTTCGTGTAGGATTAGTTATGTGTAATTTAAAATTGTAATTTGCTGCAATTCTTTTTAATTCAATTGTGTCATTTGAATTTTTTAAAGTGTCTATATTTAAGTCACCAGTTAAAATTATTTTATATTTTGTTTTGTGTTTCAGTTTTTCTAATAACTGTTCAAATTTTTTAAGGAATATTGTAACATTTGATGTTGGAGTTCTATAGATGCATATCACAATACATTTTATATACGAGATCTCTATTCCGCAACACTCAAAAACATAATCCTCACAAAACTCTTTCAAAAAAGTTAATTCTTGTGTCGAAATATGACAAGAACACAATATACAGACTCCACCTCTTTTTTGATGGCTTCTCGAATATGACGTTTGAAGACGATATCCTGCAATATTTATATTACCTTCACTACCTTGTTTAATAAACGTTTCACTAAAACATAATATATCGAACTCTTTATTCTTTTCTGATAATTCTACTAATGTAATTTCTATTAGTTCTTTTTTGGTAAGTATTCCAGCGATGTTTTGATGAAAGACAGTAAAGGACTTGCTGTTGTTATTCACGAAAAATATTCTTTTCAATACGGTGCGATGTTATGCTTGAATTATGCTTTGGTATATAATAATTAGTAATTAATTTTTGAATTAATTTAATTGAAGCACCATGGATATCGCAGTGTATACTATGTTACCCATGCTACCCACGAACTATACTGTTAATCCCACGTACATACCTTATAATTTCACTGCTATGTTACTGCTCTACAAACTGAAACACAGCCATTCAAGTACAGCTGCATTACAATAGATCAATGCTAAAAATGTCGAGTTGAAGGGCGACACTGGGAGCACTGTATGTACACGACGGTCTACCTACAAACCTAGTGGCAATAACACGGCGGACGAAGAAGAAGACTACGGAGACCAGCCGATCATATCCGAAGAGTTCCGAACGCCGTCTTTCTTATCTGTGACGATGCCGCTACACGCTTTCAACAAGAACTTACAGCTCGTTCAGCAAGTCGGGGTAAGCAGTCAGGCTTGTTCTCACGTCACAGTCGCTCATGACTAAGGATCACGAATTGATACCGAAACTAATCAAGCTTTTTCTATCTAATTACACGTAAGTTAAACCGTTAGTTATTACAAATAAAATATAATGTTATTAAAACATAACTGTTAATAGAAAACTTTTTTCTAACGTAAATCTGTGTATACTAAAACAAAGGCTTCATTATCAAAGATCAAGATTGCGCACTGGATGTTGAAGGAAAGAGACAAATCTATTTTATAGTATCACTACATCTCGTTCTACTATTTAGTAGTTTAGTTATTTAGTAGTCTTGGTAGTTGTTCCGAAGTCGAATGGCCGGTTTTATGAGCAGTGCAGATGTCAGTACTTGCTTGCTGAAGTTATCAAGAGTAGGTAGCTATTCGAGACATATGTCACACTTAAGTTTGATTTGTATATACAAAAAATATGTAAAAATATTGTAGCCTTATTAAATATATGTCATTAAAAGTAATTAAAAAAATTATTAATTAAAAATTACACACAATTATTATAACATGTAAACTTTAGCGAGCAAACGAATTCTAATCATGTTATCTTCTGATATTAGTATTTCATTAAGATTAAATTTTTATTGATAAAAATATAATATCAATATTTTATTGTTTAGCCAATATATTGTATATATAAAACTATTTAGGATACAGGTTAGATTAAGGCATTCATTATCTACTTACTACTACGCATATTCGTAAACTTTCTCCATATTTTTTTCCTTAAGAAAGTCTCCCAAACTACCTGCTTATAGTACTCTACAATACATTAAGGTCCTCGCACCAACTACTGAGTCTATAATGGATTTGTCTATACGAGATCACCATTTGAAAACTTAACTTCAACATCAATTATCTATACTTTGAACTATATATTCAGTCGATCGAGAACTAACGAAAAATTCAGCAACTCTATCTCGACTAATTTAAAATAGTTTAATCTCTAAATGTACACGACAGAAAATCTATTTATAAGAACCGATATGCTATGTCTACCATTTCCCTATAGAGATCATTTATTAGATACTTAATTATAATCTTTAAGATAATTAAAAAACAAATACTTTTAAAGAATAAAAACGATTTAATAAATACTATAAAACCACCATACTTAATATAAAAAAATTGCTGTCTAAGCCTATTATTGGAACTGCGGTGAGGTCTATGTGAGAATCTATTGTATTTATTTCAGGAAACCATTAGCAGATACACAAATTAATCTCCTATAATATTCTGATTTAGAATAAGCCGTCCTATTGATTAATCTGAAGGCAGAATATTACAGAGATCAAGGATATGAACTAAGACTAGTAAAGTGATGTAAACTCAGTCAATTGATTGATTGAATGCAATTTGAGAGTATCCGATATCTGATTTATTAATTAATGTTTAAAACATTTATTATTCTCACATGAAGATTGGTAATTATAGTGTAGTCGTATAAATAGGACTGAGAAATTCTGCACACCATAGAACGCCTTCATATTACTTATCTATACTAATATATATAATGAAAGTGTTTGTTAGAACTAGCTAATCTTTACATCGATAGTTGTAAAAATTTGCGATTGGTAAATCAAATTTGAAAAATCTTTTCGCATTTCATTGCTCAATTCTTGAGGAAAGTAGATGTAAACTATTCAATATTACGAACGAAGCTGTGGAATATAGATATTATTAAACAAAAAATAGCCAATTTTTCAAGTAGTACATACTCGTATGACATAAAATATGCCAATAGATCAATGTGAATATAGAGTACTCATGTCTCAATGAAACAAAACAGTCGACGTCATACCTATGCATTCATCTGCCTTTTTGAGGTCGGTACAAAATGTTTTCCTTTATCATTGATTCTTGTCAGCTGTCATACCCGTGTTCACTGTCCGGTTATGCATAATATTATATTTTACACAGAAATACAAGACAACATATAAGTGCACGAGATGAGGTACCTAAGAACAAGGAATAACATAGAAGGAATGATACAATGAAAACTGCAAGACATATGGTTGCTCCTTTCTTCTTATGCAAATATAATTAGTAAAAAGAGGATGAAAGATACACCATCAGTTGCTATTTTTCTCAATTCATGGCAAGCTAGTGTATAGAAAATGTTTGATATGTAAATTATTTATCAATGACAAATTTTACATTACTAGATTATATATTCGACACAGTTTATGTAGAAAGTACGCAACCAGGTTGTATCTAAATTTGATAAGGTTATACGACCTTATAACATTTTCTATACACTAATCAACTACGATTTGACCAAAATAGCAACTGATGGTGTATCTTTCGTCCTCTTTTACCAATTATATTTGCATGAGAAGAAAGGAGGCAATCATATGATTTACAGTTTTTATCATTCCTTATTTGTAATTCCTTGTTCTTAGTGTGATACTATATAAACGTCAACACATGTATTAAATTGCTAGTTATCCAATATATAGATATCCGACTAGTATCGGCAATATCGTAATGGGTGATGGCCTTTTTTCGCCCTAAATCTCTATAGGAACCCAATATTGACCATACCTAGGAAACGAATGTGACGTAGGGCCTATTGTTAAATATAATATTGGTCATAACTGACGACATAATTTTTGTATGCCTGTCATGTTTTTATAAAAGTTAGTTTTACTTCTGAATGCCATATCGATTAATTGCGATATTATCCCATTACTATTATAAGTGCGAAAGTTTGCAAAGGTGAATAGATGGATGATTGTTACTATTTTACGCAAAAATTATTGACTGATTTGAATGAAATTTGGCACACAAGTCGGTTATATTTCTAACTTAGAACATAGGATATTTTATATACTGAATTACGGGCAAAATCATCAGATACAGCTATATTATATTTACCAGAGGGAGACTTTGTACAAAATTCGATTGCTTGGCTACCTCTGTCCCATTCGTGTTTCAACCGTGAAGCAACTGTATTTGCATGGCTGTGTTTCGGTTTGAAGGGTGGGATATGGCGTGAATTTACTGGGTACAGAAGAATAACACCTGAGTCCTCAGGAATGGCAAATGCATGGGGGTATCATGGGCGAAACAGTATACTCTGTTATGTCCACGGTACTGCTCATGTCTATAGGCGACGGTTACCACTTTCCATCAGGTGGGCCGTCAGCTTGTTTGCCATTCTAAGTAGTATAAAAAAAACCTGTGGTACATCGGCTATTTGAATTGAACAATACCTATGTACATACATAGGTATGCATGTTGTACGCAAAATTAAAATGTTAACTTCTTACGTATATCAGCAGCAAGCAATGAAACTAGTTTCAGTATTTTAGCACTTTTAGTAGACTAAATTATATTGTAGCGTATCTTCTCACGATATTCTCTGTTCGTTGCTTTCAATTTATATCGGGCTCCTTTGTGAGCTCGAAGCTAGATCTGAAACATCGAATTATTCAGACTAGATGAGTCAAGTGGTCAATAAATATTTTAAAGATCTACACTGCAATTTTATAAAGTGAAATCATTTTGCGTCATATTAGTATTCTAGATATTTAAAATATACTTTATGAATAAATAAAAAAAACTAAAAATCCCACGTTTATAAAAATAAATATTTATAATATGGCTTACATGATTTATTTCCCAGTATTTTCCACCTATCCGGTTGTAAAATAAAAAAAAAAAAAGGATTTTTAAATGGGTAAATCAACATTTTTAAGTATCATGCATTACTTCAATGTTTAATTTTTATTTATATAAAATTATTCATTATACGTAGATAAACAAATTTATATTAAAATTTGTTGTTATGCAACTTAGAATGGCAAACAAGCTAACGATATATAGGTAATAATTGAGGTACGTTATCTAGAAAAAAAATACTGTTACCGATAAATGAGTGTCTACAGTTTGATAGTATCATCGAAATCGTCTCAGTCTAAGAAACGATAACATGACCACCTTCCTGATCTTTTGAACAAAGAAAAAAAATTTCTAGTTAATAAAGTTTAATAAGAAAATAAAATCAATAACAAACAACTATCTTGGAACTCGTAAAAACTCCGAAATAAAATTATTACAGATAAATTTCCTTTTTAACTCACTTAACATCATCGTTGGACTTGAAACTGTAGAGAATTCCAATCCAAGGTTGAGTTATATCCGCTATCGAAGCGAGTTCAGCCACTAGAGTGAGCTTTGTTTCAAATTTGCATTTTAAAGAATAGCACAACAATTTTTATCATGTTAATTGTAGCTATTCTATATACTTTAAGTCTTCGATCGAAATAGTATGAGATATGTAATATTAGACGTGAATGTCTGCAGCTATGAACTTAAAGGTAGCATTGAAATATCCACTGCAACTATTCTATCACTGTTAACTCCTTGATCGCAACAGTATGTGAGGTGCAATTTTATACTGTAATGTTGGCAGGTGTAAACTTCGAGCTTCCTTTATTTAAACTTTTATACGGTGCCATTCTTACTGGTTTTATTGTTTGTAAGATTTTTCAGATTTAAATCCACAATGTTCAATGTTGCTTGTACTTGTTTTTATAGTAATGGTAATGCTTAGTGGTACAGAATGACTGATATTATTTTCATTGTTTGATTAAGTATATATATATAATAATAATACTAATACTAAGACATACAGTGTACATTAAGTTAATAACAATGTTAGCAAAGACGAACTTACCTCTAGAAGAGATTTCTTCCAGTCAACCTACACAGTAGCATAGGAAGTAGTGAGTGGGCAAATTTATTCTACAGTAAGAACGTTCATCATATCAGCCGTTAACTGTCCCCTGTTGAACTTACCTTAACTTTAGACTTCTCCCATAAAAGATAGTTTACCAGTAGTTACCATGCTTGACAGGTAGATTGGCAACCACAGTTACATTTTGATGTTGTTTTAATAGAGATGCTGCTGGCCATCCTTGGACCAATAAGTTCACTTAGTCGCCTCTTACGACACCCATA